GGCACGTTCAAATGAAAACCGTGCATTTCTAAGAAACCGTGTAAACCAATTTCGACCAATAGGAAAATTTCTATTTTTTCTAATTAAATTTAATGAATAAGGTATTTCGGTCATTTACAATATTTTCTATTAAATATGGAAGTTATTAATAAATCTTAATTAAGGAAACGTAAGAAAGGAAATTGTATAAATGGTAACATTTAAATATTTAATTATATTATAATATTAAAATTTTGAATTTTATATATTGTTATGAGATTGAATCTGCAAACGGGTCTTGAAAATTGAATTGCATTATGGAATGAAATCGTAAATTATGGTTCGAATTAAAAAAATAATGTTAATAAAACAAGTTTCATGAAGGTGAAACTAGTTTACGTTTCAGTGATAGTGTAGTTGATCCGTTTAGTAGAAAAAATGGAACATGAAACGGGTGCATAATTTATTTGATTCGTCATGAAATAATTGCATGATGAAACGGGTACATGATGAATTTGCTTCGGGATCTTGAAGATTGTAATCTGCTCCAGAATCTTGAAGATTGTAAGGAGTAAAAGAAATAATGCATGAAATCATGAGTGAAATAAAAAAAATTAATTTACATGAAACAGGTTTCATGAAGGTGAAACTAGTTCATGGCGTAATTGAACAATGAGTGGTGAACTGCTTTCATGGTGAAACTCGTTTCAGTGATGGTATAGGTGATCCATTCAGTAGATGAAATGAAAAATGAAACGGGTGCATAATGTAAGCGGTTCGTCATAAAATAATTGCAAGATGAAAAATAAATTAGTTTTATTAATAATAATAAATGTTAACGTAAAAATGTTAACGTAAAAATAATAAATTACTTTACAAAAAATAAATTAGTTTCATTAATAATATGATATACATGATATGGTTTCCTTGAATAAATGAATATTTGGTTTTACCCTTTTGCCCTTATCGGTATTATAAAATGTATTTTCAATTTTTTTTTATTTTTCATTTCCTTAAATAACATTGATTAATCTTAACCATTGATCAAGAAAATGGATGGATGAGATTGGTTTACACAAATGGAGGCGGTTTTTATTTGATCGTTCATCTATCTATATCTATCTATATATATATATATATATATATATATATATATATATATATATGAGGAGATTCGGATGAGAAGTACTAAATATATGAGAAATAGAGGAGCAATATAAGCTATTAGATTAAATGATCAAATGAAGGGTAATATGGTAATTAACAATTCTAACATTGATAGAATTAGAGCAATGTAAGGATCTCGATTCTATCATCATTTTTTCCTCGCTTCTTTTTCGATCATATATCGTAATTCTATCATCGATCATCTATAGCAAATCGAATTCGGTTTATGGCAATTCTATTATTGGGTTTTTCTCGATCAAATATCGCAATTCTAGGTTATGAACATTATCATATTTCTTAATTCTTTCTCGATCAAATCTCGTATTCTTTCGGTATGAATCTAAATCTAGAGAGCGATCTTGAGCAAGATGTTGATTTTGATCCTAAAACTGTAATGTTATATGTGAATCAATTAAATAGTTCATATGTGAATCATTTGGGTTCACATATGCACATAACAACGAAAACAAGTAATATCATACGAGAATTATGATTCCATATGTGAGTTAAATAGTTCATATGTGAATCACATGAATTCACATATGCACATATACAGTTTATACGTGAATCAATTAAATAGTTCAAATGTGAATCACAGGTGTTCACATATTCACATATAGTTCATATGTGAATCACATGGGTTCATATATGCACATATTATAATTTGTTTGTTGTTTATTTGTAAAAGGTATGAAACTACTCATTTATCTTCTTCATAATTGTTACCATGCAACCGAATTTTATGGTGCTGCACAATCAACCCTTCAAATCTTGATCGTTAATTTTTTAGTGGAAAGGCTAGGATCACTTCTCTATTTCTCATATATTTGATGCTTCTCAAATGAACATGATAGACGAGAATGCACGTGTAAGGTGGACAAATGAAATTACCAAATGTTTTTTAAAGACTTGTATAGAAGAGGTCAATAAAATGGATCGAAATGGAAGTAGTCTATGAAAAGAAACTTGGGCAAAAGTTGGTAAAACAATTTAAGCACATTAACAAAATAAACCCTTCAACTTACCACAATTATTTGAAAACAACCCCGAACTTTGTATCCGATAAACTCGGTTATCACGGATGAGTTATTTTCTAAGTATGATCAAAGCAACGAGCAAGGGGACGATGGCAAGGACGAGGCAAAAGTGTTGGGTTCAAGTATATGTGTTATTGTTATATTCAAGTTCTCCTTTTATTAATAGTTAGACTTTAATGTTTTCCTTAGTATAAATAGTGATTAGTCTTGTAATTGTCATCAACTTCTGCAATTATTCTGATTAGTATTGTAATATTCTCTCTCAAGAAATCAAAGAATATTGTTGTTGAAAATTCTCTCTACTCATATACTTGATCTTCATCTTGAAGATTAATTCTGAATTTGTATGTCTTTGGCTTCAATTGGTATCAGAGTATGTAATAATGCATTAAATATCAAATTCCGAACATTATAAGGGAATTTGATGTAAAGATTAAGAGAGAGTAACATCAAGTCGGCAAAAGACTCAAAAGGAGTGCGACTGGAGATAATTACAGAAAGATTATTCCTGTGCTAAAACGACTGAGAGTTTTTGAATGTGAAGATCATCATTTCAAAAGTTTACCAACGGAGTTTCTAATCAAAGAGAAAATTTGTGATTTGTTGTCTGAAGATTCTTTGAAGATCACATCTTGTACAATTGTTTCTGAAGATTTTTGTTGATACTGTTCTACATTGTCAAAAGAGAAGATCATCACTGTTCTACATTCGAGGGGGAGAATGTTAGAAGATCTTTCTCAACAGATAATTGTCTGAAATTTTTAGTTGAGGATTCTTTTGAAGAAGACATAGAGTGTTTAAAGCTTCAAAGTTCAAACGAGACTCAAAGCGCGCAAATTCTTTCAAACCTGAATACAAAGGGGGGGATTGTTAGGACTGAAATTCAGTATTAAATTGTATTCATCTTGAAAGATAAAATTGTCTATAATTGTATAAAAGTCATCATGTTTGACTTTTATTAGGATAGTTTGACGTTGACTATTTTGTCTAGTTTGACCCTATATATAGGGTGAGGTCTTGTAATCTTTGGAAGGGAGCTCATTTGATAAATCAATATACGTTTGAGAGTTTGACCAAGATTGAATGTGTTGACTTTCTCTCTCTCCTTCTCTAAATGTTCTTACAAGAAAATACATTCTGTCATTGATGATCTTGAAGGTTTACATGAAGATTGATATATTGGGACAAACAAAAAGAGATTCAATCGCATGTGAGTGCCACTGACTGAACATATATGGCCAGTTTAAGAGAAAAAAATTCGACACAATTAATGCAAAATGAATATTGATTCTAATTGTTATCGGACTTTGTTCGTGTTTAATATTTTGTGTGGAATCAATTGACGTATTTCAGTTGAAGTATTGAATATGTTAAAAATAGATGGTAGTTTAAAAATGGTTTAAATGATTGGATATTTCAGTTTAGTTGAATTTAATTAAAATGAATTGATTCAAATTTCTGACTTCAGACGTTTGTCAGTTTACAAAAACAAACAATCTTATTGATTCAGATTTTAGACTTCAGACGTAAAAACAAACAGTCTGATTGATTCAAATTTTAGACTTCAAACGTAAAAACAAACATTCTGATTGTTTCATATTTCAGATTTCAGCATCACCTCTTATAAATCATAAGTGAAATCAGACTTCAGATTTCAGCATCTAATAGAAAACAAACGCCACCTTAGTTTGGTACTAATATAAATATATGTTTTTAATTTGTTATGATATCTTCGTATTTATATTTATTTTAAAAATTAAAACTTTATCGCTTTCTCAAAACTACGTAAAGCTGTATTATAACATTGACTGAGACATAACAAAAAAATGAAACATTAAAATTCAGATGTAGGGTTGGGTTTACGTGAAACCTGTTTTCATGAGACCCGTGAAACCACTTTGTTACATTTGAAAATTCACAGAAAAATATTGTGAAGGTAAAAAAAGTCTAACCTTCATAGCAAAAAAACTGTGAATGTTACATTCACAACGTTTTGTTGTAAAGTTTAAGTGTAAAAAAGTGGTCTCACAAGTTTCAAAAAAACAGGCTGATTTCACATGATCCCAAGTCTATATATATATATATACACACACACACATATATATATATATATACATATACATATATATATGGGACGTTTCATTTATAAATTAATTGTAACCATCTATCTAGCTTAATAAATATCTGATTCCATTTTTTTTTCTAAATTTAAAACATGATCATAATGAATGAATTTTATCATCTTTCATTTATATATATATATATATATATATATCAATTATAATTAACAAACATAATAATTGTCCATGAATATCTTTAGGGGTGGGCTAAATGCACCCCTATGCATTGCTTAATGCACCCCTATCCATGAATTTCTTCCTCACACACATCAACATCAATACATGTTTTTTACATTTCCAATGCTTGAATGACCTGATTCTGACATCAAAGGGGGTGCCATTAGCACTCCCCTATCTTTATTACCATGAAATAAAACATCCCTCTCTTTGACATTTGTCATCCCAATGGATTTGTACATTAAAAGATTACAAGGACAACACACACATACATGGAGAAGGGTTCAAACGAGAACATTTTTGTTTTACGAGAACACATTTTTACTATACAAATCACATGTGATACTATTATTCCTTCACATATGATACACATGTGATACTATTATTCCTTCACATATGATACACATGTGATACTAAAACAGAGACACAGACGATTTCCGATGCGATCTTGGTTACAGGTCAAGTCGCCCTTACACCACTAAGCCCCCTCACAAGTATTATCACATATGATAAGGATGTTGTTGATATATGTAATGCTAAATTATAAACGTAGACAACCTTTGATTGGTATGGCCATAAGTGGTACTTTTTTTTGCAAGGTGATTCCAAACTTCTCCTCCATATCCATATCTTGTGCTCTCATATCTCCTTCAAGCTTCCAATCAAACTTGTGAATCAATGATCCCAACGTCATATGTAACATTCTATGTGCAATATTCAATCCCGGACAAATTCTCCTCCCGGTACCAAACGGAATGAGGTCGAAATACTGGCCTTTATAGTTGATCTCGTCTTCCAAAAACCTCTCGGGCATGAACATTTCCGGGGCCGGCCAAATGTTTGGATCTCGCCCCATTGCCCAAACGTTACAAAGGATTTGTGCGTTTTTAGGCACGACAAAACCACGGACTTCTACGTCATGAATGGCTTCGTGAGGGACAAGAAAAGGGGCCGGAGGATGCAACCGAAAGGTTTCTTTTATGATAGATCTTAAATAAGGGAGTTGAATGATATCTCGTTCTTCTATGTTCCGGTTGTCGTGTTGCATGAGTTTAACAAGCTCTGATCGAGCCGTTGCCATTTTATCTGGGTTACGAATGAGCTCAGTCATCGCCCATTCTACAGTGCTCGATGTTGAATGAGTTCCCGCAACAAATAAATCCTACAACGAGTTACGAAATGTTCATTTAATCTTGTGAACAAAATCTTACCAAAATGTAACATGTTCAAAGGATTGATTTGCCTACCAGAAACAAATGTCCCAATCCAATTTGGCTGAATTCGGATTCATCTTTCTGCTTAAGGTTGAGCAACAAGTCCAAAACATCATTCTTTGTAGACGAAATACCATCGTTCGATGATGAACTCAATCTGGTCTGAATCCGTTGATCAATGAGCTTATCAAAAATCGTCAGTAACTTCTTCAAATGAACACTTCCTCGTCGTACTATTCCTTGTGGATCGAATGGTTTAAGTATTGGAAAAAAGTCTGCAAGATTCACCATCCCTGCATATTCCATCAAAGCCCATACATTGTCCTTGAATTCTTGTGATGACACCGAATCGTATTGAGACGAATCCAACGAGAAAATGAAGGTCGAAAGAATGTTTAGAATGGTCGTGAACGTAGTCGAACCTATGTTAACGGCCCTTGCCTCGACCGAACATTGATTCACGTGGTCAAGAAGTTCTCGTACCTGGACGTGCAACCACATGTTAGCTAACGTGTAAGGGGTTGTTTGACAGTTGCTGAATAGTTCAGTGTAGAATGATTAAGAGGCTCTCATGATATAGTGCAAAATGAAATATAATTATCTGATAATTATTTTCAACGAAATTAGGGCTCTGAATGGTTAAGGGAGACCCATAATACAAAATCATTCAGGAGGTTTTAGAACTATTAAGAGGCATACCATTTTTTCGCCAAACAAGATTCACCTATTAACGATTCAAAGATTGCTTCTTAATGGAACTATTAAGAGGTAAACAAACAACCCCTTGACTCGGTTTCGAAAATGTTTTCCAACACCCTTGGTTCAAATAGCAAGGTAGTTTACTAAATAGTTGTTATATACGAATCATACCTTCTCTCTGCGTCGGAGTTCGCTATCGTCTAGACATCGCACGGAGAACATATATTCTTTGGTTATTCTTCGTAATCGACGCAACTGATCTCCGCCCGGCGACCACACTAGAGAGAATTTATGGTGGTCGACCGATCGGATGGCCTCGGTTATAAACCGACCGGAGAACGATTGGTCATTTGTGTGAAAGAACTCTTTCGCCATATCGGGTGATGAAATGACGATGGTGGTTTTGCTTCCGAGCATGAGTGACATGAATGGACCGTAACGTTTTGAGAGTATGGCAAGAGAGTGATGGGGTTTGTTGCCAACTTGTAGTAGGTTTCCGATGATCGGAAAAGGGTAAGGTCCCGGCGGAAGCCGTGAGTTGCGGCGGCCGAAAATGGTGAGGGCGTAGATGAATGTCAGAAGGGAAGATAGGAAGAGAAAGAAAGCCGCGTACTCCATTGATTTGTGTTGTGTGTGAGTTTTTGGGATGAGAATTCCATCTTATATATAGGATCGGATACATGCATGTATCCACACAAAAAATAATAAAAAATAAATAAATATTTTTTCTTTTTTTTATTAAACTGTATATCTAACTCATTATGCGAGTCGACTAATTTTAGGACGACCATCTGTTTTGCAGATAGAAGGAGTCACCGTATTTGAATCTCCGTGGCCACAAGGGGATTTTTATTTCTCCTTGGAAGTAAATTATCGTACATAGTATGTGCGCACACGTACACACGAAAGGGGTGAAATCAAATATACGTTGTTTTTGTAGATGAAACGTATGTGAAACGTTGTTTTTATAGAGTGTTGTTTTGTAGATTAAACTTTCACAGTGTTTTGTTGTAAAGTTTCAAGTGTAAAAAAATAGTCTCACGAGTCTTACGAAAAAAGGCTGGTCGCACGTGATCTCAAGTCTATATATGTAGTCATAGGTTCATTTGAGAATTTTATAAAATATACGAGAAAATACAGAAATGATCCTAACCCTTCCACTAAAAAATTAATGGTCAAGATTTGAAGGGTTAAAAGTTATATCAAATCTCGTAGATTTATGATGTGTTCACAAATTATAATATTTTTTCTAAGAAAATATTCACATTGTCTGCATATTTAATTATATATGTGTATATGTATATATGTTACGCCGATGGAAGCGATGAGAGAGAAATTGAAAAGAGATTTTATATTAGATTTTATTTTTCAACTAAATTTTTCTGATTTAAATTAGATTTTACGATTTAAAAGTTAAAAAAAATACATATATATAGTATATTTCAAATGTAATCCAATCAATTGAGATATTTATATAAATGATGAGAGTTCATTTATTATGATTTGAATATTTATGAAAGATGAGTAGAGTTCATTAGTTATGATTAATACTTTATATTATGAAACAATCAAAACTTATATGAAATCACATATTCATCAAATTAAATGGACGATTGAGATTGAATTGTATTAGTTGTGTAAATGTAAATTGTTGTATAATAACTCACCTCTATATGTATATATTATAGCAAACTTGAATTTTCTTTCATAACGATATTTAGTCGTATTTGATTTCGTTTCCATGTTTATTGACGATTTTAATTAATCATTACATGTAATACGAATAAAAATCAAATTTGTGAGTTGTACAAATTTTAATTAATTAATTATTTTACGTAAAAATTAATAACTAATTTATTTTATTTTTATTGAAATTATTTATCGAAATTTTGATATTTATGAAACTGAATAAATATAAGTTTATTTATAAAAATATTTTTATAATTGTTATATTTTAACTCAATGCACTACAATAAAATCAGGTTTATAGGATACTCTCAATTTCTAAGTGTCTTAATAGACCTCTTTATAAGACTTAGTTTATAGGACTAAAAAAATAAAGAGTCCTATCTAAAGGCGTTGTAATAAGTTTATATGACGTTGTAATATAAAGCGTCCGATTAGCAACTTTATAGGACATTATTTGAAAATTTGTCCTATAAAAACAAATGTCTTATAAAAAATTGAGTTTATATGATATTTTCTCGAAAGTGTCCTATAAAGTTGTTAATATGACACTTTGTATTAAAAATGTCCTAAAAAAACTTGTTAAGACACCAAAAAAACGTCATATAAACTTATTATAACAACTTTAGATAGGACACTTCAAAATTTTGGTCATATAAATTAAGTCCTACAAAGCGGTCTATTGGAATGCTTAGAGATTTGGGGTGTCCTATAAACCCTATTTTATTACAGTGAGATAGTTATATAGCTCGGTTAAAAAAATTTATGAGTGGTTGTTGGGTGTGGGTTTTTTGTTAATTTATGTAACGAATATCAACGGGGACCATGTGAAATTAAGATGTGGGGTGGGGTGGGGGTTGGTAAAAGAAATTTGAATTTTTAAGACTAAAGGTAATTGTGTAATGTAGCGAGATAAATCTTCATTTTAATGTTTAGTTTTTATTATTTGTCTCTATCGATATAATACGACTTTATGTGATTTTGAAAATGTGGTAATGTTTTTATTTTTGAATGAAATATAAATTTGAAGACAACATAAAAATTTGAAAAGAAAAATAAATCGATATTAGTATCAAATTAACTATTTAATAGTTCGTGTTTTTTTTTTTGTGTAACTTCTTTAATTCAATTTAGATTTAATAACAAAGTAATTTATTTTTGGTTTAATAGTATATTTTTTATAAATTAATAATTAAACAATATTCTATTAGAACTCAATTATTATCTTAATTATATTTTAGACTTTATATATTTAAAATAGATGTTTATCTTGTATTTGATTATGTTTATCTGCAGTTAGTTACACAAATTTAAAAATAAAGCTTTAATAAGTTGTACTTACGCAAAATTACTTGTAATCTTGAATTTTAAGTAATATGCATTAATAAACAGTATTTTCTGTATAAAAAATGGTTTAAGAATTTTTGTCAAATGCTTTATAATAACAAAATCAAGTAAGTTTTAATTCTTGAAGTTATATATTTATATATCGAGGTATTACATGCGTTAATCATGGTTTTACATAACTCGTTATGGTGTGTTATGGCACCACAGCTTGGTTTTGCCGCCACGTTAACCCATGTGCCTTCACTCAAGGCCGTCCCTAGGGGAGGACGGGCTGGGCGTACACCCAGGACCCATAAAAATAGGGGCCCAATTTTTTTAATATATATAATAGAGATGGCCAAATGGGCCCGGCCCGGCCCGTAACCGACGGAGGACCGGGACCGGGACCGGAGAGGGACCGGGACCGACCGGGACCGGTAGGGACCGACCGGGACCGGTAGGGACCGGTTGAGGGACCGCCGGTTATGAACCGGTTAGGGTTTTTGACGTTTTTTGGGACCGGGACCGGTTATGTAACCGGGACCGGTAGGGACCGGTTGAGGGA